AATCGAAAATAAACACAGGGTAAAACTGTTGTCCCAAGCCTAAGGTTTCGACCTAAGGCTAATAACCTTTATGAAGTGCGAACTATACGGCGATACGGTGATACGATATTGTCAGGATGTTATCAAGACAGCCTATTTCTCATTCTTGGAAGTTACGTAAGTTTCGCCATGACGGAGGGAGCGTCAAATACCTCTGTACGTTTTCCTTCCGTCAACGCTGATCGCTGAGGTCATCAGTGCCACAGTTTGTCCGCTCTCTGACGTTTATTTTTCTTAAAAAAATTGAATAGCTAATTTCATCCGGATAATCGATTTGTTGCTGTAATAAATGTTCGAAAATGAGTAGTGGTGCGGTATATAACGTTGTATACTTATTTGTTGCAGATTCTGTCGATCATCACATTCATATGTGCAGCATCCATTCCTGGAGGTTTCGGGCATTCAGGATGGAGTGCATTCGTGGCATTCACGGGATTTCTCTTTACCACCATTCTGCTGCTGATCCATTCGTTGCACATAAGCGAAAATTACCCGCGAATTCCATGGCTGCTCATCGTAAGTTGACCACTTTATTAATTTACGGTATTTCTCAATCGGCAATCAAGATGTACTATTAATTTGTCGACTATTTTATTATATTTTTTATTGGGAAAGTTAACGAAAGAATGTAAATTTTCGGCATCCGGCACTTTTTGCTGTGATACTCAGTAATATTGCCTGCATGCGGAATTGTTGGTCCACATCGCACAAATTCGCATTGGCACAGTTGCAGTGCGGTCAGCTTCGAATTTCGGGGCTGCCGGGTTCGAATTCCGAAAGGACAAGATTCTTTTAAAGGCAAATTCCCTTGTGTTAGAAATTCACCCGACATTGCTTTGGTACAGCCAGCCGAGAAACAGTTAGCAAGTTGATGATTTGCCAAACACGGGATAGTGTGGTGTTCTAATGTTGTGTTTTCAGAGGCCGGGGGGCAAGAGGTGCGACCATGTTGCCTGACGCGAGCACCTCTTTGGATTAGAAAGTGCCTCGACCCACCTGACAGTTGCTTGTTTGGTGTAATAATGAACAGAACCTGTAGCCCCTTCTGTACGTAGAGCCATGCACGCAAGGTCTGGAAGTGTCCATGATAATATGACAAAGGTTGAACGCAAAAGTGAGAGGAAAAACTAAGTTACTGATGACTACCCCGGACTTGGTTTCTTCTTTTAGGTTATGGTGAATTTTTCAAAAAAAAACTTACTTCGCTATTTCACCTGATCGAGCAGACCACGAACGAGCTTGTAAGAATACTGTCCAATTCTGGATTTAATCGCAAGACAAACGATAAGAATAGTGGTGTCCTTCATGGCCTGTAGAGGTATCTACCCGATCCAAGTATTTCTTCAGCAGTTGCCGTTTACGGCGAAGGCCCTTCCTGAACATTTCCTAAGATCTGAGTTAGTAAGTGTTATATGAAGGTATAGAGATGTTGCCCTCCTGGTAAAATTGGGCTTTACTGAGAAAGTGTCGTTTACG